ACACTACATTTAACCCTGCTGTTTCTCTGTTGTATGCATTTTTAGTAAGGCATAATTAACAAAAAGGCTAGAGAGATGAAAGGATGCCAAGCTGATATCAGGCCTCAGTCACATGCATTGTTTCTTAAATTCTGAAATTAAGTGGTCATCCAATAAAGATCTGGCACTTCATATGTATGCTGATGATACGGTAATTTTTACACAAGCCAAAACTGCTGATGATGCAGCCCATCAGCTTTTATTGGCATTACATGATTTACAAAAATGGTGACTTTAGGGTAAAAAAGACCATATCATTGTTTTTTAGTAAACCTGCTGCCTGTTGCAAAGCTATCTATTCCTCACTGAAGAGTCCTTTTGTTGCACAGGCTTTGAATAAAAATGTTCTGCAACTCATAAAATAGAAGTCAAAAAGTGAAAGGAAGGTAATGTTACAGCCTACCTTTGGCTTATTTGGGGGGCTTCGGCTTGGACTTTGGGCAGGTGCAGTGACTGCAGGCCCAGGAATTGCACCATATACGCATAGGAACCATTGTCTGCTATAGATTATATCAGACAGATACTTTACTTTCTTTCGTTATTGAAAGTCTGATCATTCTACTTATGGTGCTGATCCAGAAACTGGTGCTTTCAAGATTAAAATAAAAAGAATAGCACCTGAACCTCTTGCTTTAAAGAACATTACAGGTGATCACGCGCAGTGAGTTACAGCCAACAAAGAGTCACGCAGAATTTGTGTGCATGTCTGTGCATGTGGACATTTATTATAGCTTTGTTTTATCTTCACAGAGTGGTTTTATCATTCATTCAGCCCACCACCCACTCTTTTTATTCATTTATTTATTTTAGCTTTTTAAAATGCCGATGGAAACAAAGCATTTGCCAGGTTCCCACAACTACTTTTACTTTGAAATAAGGCCCGGAAGTTTTATTTTTCCTGCAGTAGTCCACAAGTCACATCGCTGCTTGGTAACAGAATAATTATGGTGATGCACTAACCAAAAATGAAACTTAATGCGTCCTACAGCTACACCCTACAGATGAACATACAAGTTAAATCTTTAAATAAACAAAATGCAGATTCCTGTTTACCATCTACTGTTACTGTCATGTCTTACCCTCAAAGACGTGTTGGAAATGTTAAGTAACAGCCGGGCAAACTGAGCTAAATAACAGGTTGATTATAATCAACCTGTTATATAATAAGACCTGGGAATTGCACCACATGGGAACTGTTGTCTGCTATAAATCATATCAGACAGATG